TTTGAAAACACGAACATTTTTCAAATTTGAACTGTTTTTTAACGCAGGAACATTTTCTGAATTTATAAAAAAAATTAAATATGAACATTTTTTAAAATTTTGAATATTTTAGAACAGGAACATTTTTTGCAAATTTTGAAAAAAAATCGAAACATGATCTTTTAGAAAATAAACTTGAAAAATAAAATAAAAGTAAAAGCGAAAAAAAATAAGAAAATAGAAAACAAAAAAATTAAGAAAGAAGAAGAAGAAATAGAAAAAAGAAAAAAAAACAGGAAAACCGGTCAAAAAGATAACAACGGTTCAGGGAACCTTTTCGAAGGTTCTCAAAACCGGCTGCGTAGATTCTTTATAATGGGCTGGCCCATTCCTAGGGATGCGGCGCTTCGCCTGTGTGTTGCGTCGACGTTTGGAGCAAACAAGCGGAATTTCCTATTTGACGCTCTCTGCATGAATCTGCCGGGGCTTCGCACAGGCGAACGACCGAGCAGCCACGCGATCGGCCGGCCCACTTTCGCGTACACGGTGCACCTACTCCGGTTTTTTTGTCTCTTTTACTGGTTTTTCTGTTTCATTTTTCATTTTTATTTTTTTGTTTCTTTTTCTTCTTTCTTTTTCCTTTTTTTGTTTACTGTTTCTTTTTTATTTTTTATTTTTTTATTTTTCAAGGTTATTTTATCTTTTTAAACAAAGTTCATGTTCGGAAATAATTCTTGCTTTTAAAATGTATTCGAAATTTGAACAAATGGTCATTATCAAAAATTATTCATAAATTCAAAAAATGTTTGGGATTTTTAAAAAATGTTCTCGTTTTCCAAAATTGTTGCTGATGCTTTTAATTGTTTTTCCCATTTTCAAAATTTGTTCGCAAACAGCGAAAAATGTTCATGTTTTATTTTTTTCGGAGTGTGAAAAAATGTATCAATTTCATAAATTGTTCACAAGTTTTAAAAAACGTTCGTCTTTTCTAATTTTGTTCAACAGTTTCAATATATGTTCACAAGTCCAAATTTTGTTTTGGAATTTGGAAAAATGTTCCAGTTTTCAAGAAATTTTCGTGATTTTCTAAATCTGTTCAGAAATTTGGAAACGGTTGCGTTTGCAAATTTTGTTTTGGAAATTTCCCTGTTTTTATTTTTTTCCAGAGTTTCAATTGTCTCAGTTTCATAAATTGTTCACAAATTTTAAAAAAATTGTCGTGTTTTTAAATTTTTTGTACAGGAGATTCAAATTATGTTCGCGTCTCCAAATTTTGTTTTGGAATTTGGAAAAATGTTCCCGTTCCATGAAATCTTCATGTTTTCTATTTTTTTTTCTTTTTTTGTATGTATTTTTAAAAGATGTTCGTATTTTCAAATATTGTTCAGGAGTTTCAAAATACGTTCACGTCTCCAAACTTTGTTATGGAATTTGGAAAAATGTTCCTGTTTCAAGAAATCTTGATGATTTAAAAAAAATATGTTTCCTAAAATGTATTTTTTTAAAATTTGTTCAGAAATTTGAAAAGTGTTGCTTTTCGTAGAAGATTTCGTTTTAAAAAAAATTCTTTCGAAATTCCTAAATAAATTTGGATCTGCACAGTATCGTTCTTTACCCTTGTTGCAACAATATGCTCGGATAAGACAGCTAGCTGGACTGGTAGTAGCGGATTTTCTTTAACACTCGAACCCGTGTTCGAATCCCAGATGTAGGTTTAACTGGGAGAACTGGGATTCGATCTCTGAATGAGAAGGAAAACGTCCACACGTGCTAACCACTAGGATGCCCCTCCGTTTGCTGATCCATAACGGAAACAGAACTCCTTTGACCATTTATTCAGTAAAAAATCTAAACATATACTAGTATTATATACTCACAATAATTAATTGAATAAAGAAAACATAGATTTGAAAAAGCTTACACAAAAACCACGAATTGAAAAAAAATATTTTTTTCAAAAATGCTCTGTACGAATTGAAAAAAAATCGCAAAAATGGAAAAAGTTCATGATTTTTTAAAAAAGTTCATCAAACTTGGAAAAAGTTCTTCGAATTTTAAGAAAGTTCATCAAATTTGAAAAAATTCCATCAATATAGAAAAAGTTCATAAAATTTGAAAAAATTAGTTCATGAAATTTTAAAAAGATCATAAATTTTATAAAAAGATCATCAATTTTAAAAAAGATCACTGAATTTTCGAAAAAAGGTTATCGAATTCAAAAAAAGTTCATCACATTGTCAAAAAAGTTCGTTAGATTTGAAACTTCTTCATCAAATTTTAAAAAAAGTTTATCAATTTTGAAAAAAGTTCATAAATTTTTTTAAGAAGTGTGTGGAAGTTGAAAAGAGTTCTTCAAGTTTGAAAACAGTTCATTAAATTTAAAAAGAATTCATCAAATTTGAAAAAGAGTTCATCAAATTTAAAAGGAGTACACCGAATTTAGAAAAAAGTTATCAATTAAAAAAAAGGTTCACGAATTACAAAAAATCCCGCATTAAAGAAAACAAAAAGAAGAAACGGAAAGGGGTAAGAAAAAAAGTAAAATTAAAAAGAAAAAGAAAATAACAAACCGTATTAAAACAAGAAGTGAAAACGAGAAAATTCAACCAACTACCGAGGCATGTTGTAGTGGTTGGTAGGAAACGCTCACGAGGAATTGGTTGTGGGTTCGAAACCCCGATTGCGCACCTTTTTTGCATTTAGTAAAACTCCTATATGGGCCGGCCCTGTACGGGGCACTGCAGGCGCCCGTTAACAGAATACACATTAACGGGCCCCTGCGGCGCCAAATAGAATTCGCCGGAGCTCCTAATCGGCGCTTTATGCGCCAGATCCAGAACTGGCGCCCGCAGCAGCTTAGTTTTGGGCCGGCCGATTTACAAGAGCTGGGCGCTTGCCTGCTCCTAGCGCTCGACTCGCGCAGCACAGTCGCCCGCTCGCTCTAGCGCTTGAGTAGTTGACTCGTCAACCATTGATTTAAAAAAACACAAAAAATCGGAAATTTCAATAATTCCAAAAGGTTAACGGAGTTTGAAAAAGTTCATCCAAATTTGACAAGATTTCATCAATTTTTTTAAAAAAATTCATCAAATTTCAAAAATGTTTAACCACTTTGAAAAAAGTTCATTGAATTTGAAAAAAGTTCATGGAATTTGAGAAAAAGTTCATCGAATTTAAAAAAAGTTGATTAAATTTGAAAAAAGTTCATCGTTTTCGAAAAAAGTCCATGGAATTTGAGAAACAATTCATCAGTTTTTTAACAAAAAAATTGCAAAAGGAAAGAAAAGAAAACTCGAATAAAATCGTCCTCAAAAATGAGCAGCGAAACAGTGAAAACCCAGTTTTGGGAAGCTTCTAGAAGCTTCCCAAAACCAGGGGATCCTTGACTGAAGAGTGAAAGGAAAAAAGATGCTTAGAAAGCACAAGTCCTTCGTTGGCCTAGTGCTTACGCTTGACGCATCGAAGGAGCTGGGTGTGGGTTAGATCTCCGGCGGATACATCATTTTTTGAAGGTTTAATGAATGGTAGAGAAAAAACACAAATGGGCCGAGCCCAGCTACCGCACCTGCAGGCGCCGGTTTGTAGAAACCAAAGAAACCGATGCCTGCAGCGCTAAATAGGATATGCCTATAGGAGGTCCCGCAACAAGGGACACATAGGGTTTTCCTTATTTAAGTCTCAGAGGCGACGCTCGCGAGCGTGGGCCGGCTGGAGGGAAGGGCCCGCATGCCCGAGACACAAAGCGGCGGTGGTGCCAGGCACCCAACAAGAGAGAGGTCCTATTGGACGCTCGCGAGCGGCAAACAGCAGAGCATTCGCTGAAGAGCATGCCAAACGAACCGGCCCATTTGTAGGCGCTGAATGTAAAAACTCACGAAAATTAAAGGAGGATCCTGGACTCGAACTCTCTCCCGCACGCTAAAAATACGTTTGCTAACCAGCCGAGCTAGCCATCTCTACTTGGCCACGATGCAGCGCAAACTATTAACTAATAGCTACAGAGGCGGACCCGTTTTAAAAAGATTCCACTTGGAAAAATGTGAACAAATTTCCTTCAAAAAAGCCAATAATTTTTTACATGTGAAAAAAACCCAAACTCGACCAACTTCTAAAACACGAATTTTGAAAAAAGTGAACAAAAATTGAAAACATGAACACATTTTTTATATAGGCTGAACAGTTTTTAAATATACATTTAACTTTTTGTAATATATGCTGAACAATTTGTAAAAACGCATTGAACATTTCTGTGATATACGCTGAGCAAGTTTTCCAAATACACAATGAACATTTCGTAGTATGCGTTGAACAAATCCTTGATATACGATGAACAAGTTTAAAATACGAGGTGAACAATTTCTTAATATACGATGAACATTTTTTTAATAATATAAGGTGAATACTTTTTTAATATATGATGAACATCTTTTAATACGTGGTGGACCTTTTATATACTAAAATATGTAAACAGAGAAAAGAAATAGTAAAAAAAAGAAAAAAGAAAAGAAAAGAAAGGAATAAGCAGAGAAAAATAAAAAGAAGAAAAAAAATCGAAAATAGAATAAAACCTAGTAAAAACAAAACAGAAAAAACCGGTCCAGGGAACCTTGTAGAAAGTTCCCAAAACCAGCCAGGAACCTTCACCAAGGTTCCCAAGATCCCGCAACGAAGAAAGGAACGATGGCAACGAAGAAACAGGTGCGAAGCTGAATCGTGGGCCAGTCCAAGTGGAAGCGATAAGTCCCGCTCTTCAGCGAAGCTACGAAGATTTAACGCTAACGAGCGTCATATAGGAATCACCCCAACAAGAGGCGAAAATTTCAAGTCTCAGAGGCGGCGCTCGCGAGCGTGGGCCGGGTGGAGGGAAGGGCCCGCAGGCCCGAGACACAAAGCCTGGGACGGCGGTGGTGCCAGGCACCCAACAAGAGCCTTCGCCTCTCCTCGCCGAATCCCCAACCTCTCGCCGCCGCGCAGCAGCGCCCACCGCCTCTGCCCTCCAGCTGTCCAGCACCGGCGACCCGATGGACCGGTTCCAGGACCGGCAGCATGTGTGGCTGCGGAGCAGCGTCCACCGCGGGTACCTCAACGCCAACAGCGACGGGAAGAGCGTCTCCCTCCGCAGCCGCCGCGCCTCGCTGCAGGCGGCGTGGGCGGTGCACATCTACCACGGCGACGGCGGCGCCGTGTACCTGCTTCTCCACAGCGCCGCCTACGGCCGCTACCTCGCCGCCACGGCAACGCGGGCGCCGTTCGGCCGCGGCTTCCGCACCGAGCAGAGCGAGTACAACCAGGTGGAGGTGCACGCCATCATGTGGCGGGCCATGGTGGTGGGCTTAGGGAACGAAATCGTGCTCCGCAACGTTGGCGGCCGCTACCTCCGCGCCAACGGCAAGATCCTACGCTGTAACAACGACGTCACCGTCGACGACATCGCCAGTGTTAGCAACATGATGTATTGGACCGTCGAGCCCATCCCCCTCAGAGAGCCGGGCATGCCTGCACCAATTCCTGTGAGTTCGCCGTGACCCGTATCTTCATACCTCTTGTATTGCTTTCGATGGATTGAGGAAATAGGGTAATTGGTTGTCGTTTATTTGCTCCCACATTGTGAGCTGTGTTCATTTCATTCGCCCGAGAGAAATTATGGGTTATGTTCTTGCCCAATTTGCGCTTCCTGGGTGCAGTTCTTGCCGTTGGTTGCCAACTCTGGATCGCATTTGTGTTTTCAGCTACAAAATGCAGAGTATCACCCTGCTCGTTAGATCTAAACATAACTGTGGTTTTTGCGACTCCACTGCAGACCCGCATCCCCCGAGAGCTCTCTGTAATGCTTGGGCACGATCGGTCGGTGTGGCGGGTTATCCGGTTCGTGCAGGCGAGCGAGGAGGGGCTCTTCACCGATGTTAGGTGGTCTGCCTTCCTTTTCAATGGGAGGTACGTGTACCACCTGAGGAATGAGCTGGCCAAGCGCATCGACAACGACCAGAACTTCGCCATGTGCGTCCGAGCGGGCAGGTACGGGCGTTTGACCCCACTCATCGTCAACCTGCCCCACGGCGGCGATGGCGAGACTCTCGAGATTGTCGTCTACATCTCCAACACCCCCGGTGAGAGCCACTCTCCATGTCCCAACTTCCTAATGATCTCCTAATGGTGGCAACAAGTGAACTGGTAGTCATTGACTGAATTTGTTATGCACAATGTACACACTTTGGTGTAGATACTATTTTTCGTAAGGCCATGATCATTTGGGGTTTGTTTTAGTGGGTGCTTGCTTGTGCTTCAATAAAAGTTGACTGAAAATGTCAGTCTGAGAAACAATATACTGAGCTTTTAGGAGTATGGAATTGTCTACAGCTATTGTTTTCTTGTAGAGAAGTAATAGATGCACTGATTTGTGGCTACTTGGTTACTGGGGGAAAAAATCATTCATAATTAACATTTTACCCTCAGCCCTGATATGGAATTTCTTGGTTTCATACACTGTCCTTGAACAAGATAATTCAGTTCCTCTGTTTGGTGCTATTTGCCCCCAGTAAAAACTATGGAACTGAGAGAGACGGATCATTTAATTAATCTCTTTTCAGCCTTAACAGATAAGATTGTGATATCTATTTGATTTGATTTAGCCTATTTTACTTGTGTTCAATAACCTGTGAATAAAATTCAGGTTACTGCATTGTAAAATAATTAATGTACCTTGTGGACATGAACTATATTGTTTTCAGGTCTTGTACATGACCTGTATTATTGGT